CCGATGATTGGGGGTGGCAGGTCAGCCGTGTAGAGTGTGTAAAGGGTTGGTGAGAGACAAGAGCCCTGAGGCACGCCGCTCGATAGTGAGAATTCTTCTCCAAAATGTTCTTGCATCTTGATTTTGGCTCTGCGGTCCGTAATGAAGTTGCACAGCAGGCGAGTGAGATTTTCGGGTAGCCCCAGTTGTATGATCTTATACTGCAGCCCTGCGTGCCAAACTTTGTCAAACGCCTTGCTGACGTCCCTCAGTACTATATTGCACTGTAGGCGGCCAGTCATGGCATTGGCGATCTGCTCGTAGGCCTGAGCTATGGCGGTGGATGTGCCTCGGTACTGGCGGAAGCCGAACTGGCGGGGATTATGCACGTCTTCGTCCTCCAGATTCATCCGCAATCGCTTGTTGACTATTTTTTCGAAGATTTTGGCAGGTACCTCTAGCAGCGATATTGGTCGAAAGTTTTCGACTTTGTTTGGAGGCTTCCCTGCTTTTGGTATGAGGCGAATAACGGCGATTTTGAACATCTTAGGGAAGTATCCAGAGGCGAGGCAGGCGTTACATATATGAGCAAGCCTCTCTATCATGTTGTCGGGGAGTTGAGCCAGGATCTTCTTGTTAATGTGACTTTGAACAGGTGATTTGTTTTTAAACCCTTTTATGACGGCTGACACATCTGCAGGAACTATGCGCTCCGTCAGGTAGCTTCCGTCCACCAGTCTAGTGAAGTCAGTCCGTGGGAGCGGCTGGAGCAGGTGCTGATGGTCCTGCAACTGACCTAAAATGTCCTCCTCAAACTCCCTGTCGAAGCCCTCGTTCTCCTGTTCACTAATGGTAAAGATCTTTCGTAAATATCGCCGATGTAGTTGTTCTTGGTTTTCTTCCTCGAATATTTTTACGTTGTTTTGGTCGAGCAGGTAAGGGACCGTGCTAGAGGTGGAACCCATCAGTCGCTTGATCCCTTTCCAGAATGCAGCAGAATCGCGGTAATTGTTGGCTGCCTCCCACACCAAGGCGGCCCACTTTTGTTCATGTAGACGTTTGCTCTCGTGCTGGATGTCCGTCTGTAGCTCTCGGTACCGGGGTGTAGGTTCAAGGGGCACCGAGGTAGATGCCTTAGGTAACTCAGTCGGTTCAGGTTCGGTATCGGCAGTATCTGGAACAGCTTGTCCAGCAGGGGCCAGATCTCGGAGTGACACTGTAGACTGTCGTGCATCAGGGAACCGAACATGGGCGTACCGTGGGTTGGCTTCCAGAAGCTCAACCTCATCAACTGTTCCTGACATGTCTTCGTAGCAAGGAGAGCCAGGTTGGCATCAAACTACCACGGGCTCATCGGCGTTGGAAGTTGAACAGTTTTTCATGAAGCGTTTTGTTAGTGGCAGCACATAACAGAGACCGAATAGAATGAAGTGCGTCAGGTAACACAGATTCCCAATTAGTTTCTGCGATGTTCTTGGGCCTAAGAGCGAGTGTAATGGTTTTCCATATTATTCAATTGTAGCGCTCGCACTGACCATTTTCTCTAGGGTTGTATGGTGTAATTCGGCTGGTAAACACACCATAACTAGTGAGGAAATCTCTCAGCTCTCGACTCATGAAGGAGGTGCCTTGATCCGAGTGGACATGAGCAGGCATGCCGAATATAGCAAATAACTGACACTTGATGACTGTTGCGGCGGTCATGTCTTTGCATGCAAACGCGAAGGGGAATCGTGAATGTTCGTTAACCACTGAATTGAATTGAATTGAATTGAATTGAAGCAGTTTATTTAGGCAGAAAAATACAGATACAGAGTGGATAATAATAACAATATTAACATGGCTGAGCTAGTTGAGAACCTGAGCTCTCTTTTTGGCACCTGATATATACATTTATCTCAAGGAAGTATTATGAAACATTTAGTATTATCTGGAATAGTACAATAGCATGGTAGTAATAAGAACATCTCATAATGTTATCACAGTTATCACTTCAATATATATAAATTTTATTTATTTACTATTATCATTTTTTTTATATATACATAAATTACAGTGGAATTGAAAAACATAAGTATAATGCAGGAGCAGTACAACATGGGTTGTACAGTAATAAGATTGAACAAGAGGCCAGAGCTGTCAGGATTATGTCTAGTTGGCAAATATGTTTTTTGCAATGGTAATTACTTATCTATTTACATGGTAATTTCCGATAAAACGGTTTTGATGGTACAGCACAATAGAAGCAGGTACTGTAAATAAGTAGGTGTTACAAGAAATATTAATACTTAGAGAATAGATATTTTTTAAGAGATGATTTAAAGGAAGGGAGCGTAGTCTTTGCTCGGATGGTTAGTAGGTATCGATTTCGGGAAGTCGACTGCAAGGACCCTTGAAATCGATGTTTAACCGTTCAAAAGACTGAGTAGCTTTGATGAGGGCGGTTGTGTCGGGTTTGTAGAACTGAGGTTTAAGCTTGGCACAAGTAGAGCACTCAGCACATACCTTCTTGACGTCATCTACAGATTATGGTAAGTTGCGGATGAAGTGAGCCATCCTTGTGACTCCTGGATGACATAGCTGCTGATGGAGATCAGACAGATTGTTGTGGTTGGTAGCCAAACAGAAGGCTCTCGATAAAGCATCATCAGTTGAGTTTTCAGTCCGTGTCCGATAGTCAATGTCGTAGTCGAAGCAGGACACAGATCGCTGATCAGTGATGAGAGTAAAGTGTCTGCCAGATAGGAAATGTTTCCATTTCCTTACTGCTTCAACGATAGCATAGGCCTCTTTTTCGACAGAAGAGTGTCTGCACTCACTGTCTGAGAGTGTTCTCGAGAAGAATGCAACTGGTCTACCGGCTTGACTCAGGGAGGCAGTGATGGAAGAGTCGGAAGCGTAGGTTTCTACAACGAATGGAATCGTCTCGTCAATCGAGCTGACTACAGCACTTGCTATTTCCTCTTTAAGATTTTAGAAGGTGGAGACTGCTTTCCCTTGGAGAGGGAATGTCTGAGTCATGACCAAAGGTCTGATCTTGTCGGAAAAGTGTGAGATCCACAGAGAGTAGAAAAAAAGGGTACTATCACGCATCATAGAGCAGATAAGTCTTTCGGAAGTGGCAATTCCTTCAGTGGACGCAAGCGATCGGCGTCTGGCTTGAGAGTACCATGCGATATGGTGTAGCCCAACAAATAAATCGATTTTTTTTTTCGGGGATTCGCCCACCCGGGCACAGGTCACTGCCCCACATCGGGGCCGGGGGGGGGGGCGAAAATGTAATAATAATAATAATAATAATAATAATAATTATAATAATAATAATAATAATAATAACAATAATAATAATAATAATAATAATAATAATAATAATAATAATAATAATAATAATAATAATAATAATTATAATAATAATAATAATAACACTAATAACAATAATAATAATAATAATAATAATAATAATAATAATAATAATAATAATAATAATAATAATAATAATAATAATAATAATAATAATAATAATAATAATAATAAGGAAATGCAAAAATGAAAAAAAATCAAAAGTGAGAAACAATATATGTATGTTGCGTTGTCAATAGTAAGAGAAACAATTGAGACCCTGCAATTGTGTGTAAATGAAGCAGAAGTCAGATGAGCAACCTGGGACTTGGTCACAATTTTCGTGATGCCATATGGCAGCACATTATGCTTCCAATATCTTCCCAGGCGGTAGTACCTCCCTGTTTGGTAGCTGCTTACTACCTACTACCTGTTGCTGAGAAGACAGATTTGTCTTCATTGAAGGTGAATTTTCACTTCTTTGCTGCCTCAAGGAATCTGAAAAGATTTCCATCGTGCTCCTGTTGAGACGAACCGGCGATGGTGATGTTGTCAATGTACGCAAAATGAGCCAGCAGTTCGTTTCTACGTATGAATTCATCGATGGTTCGTTGAAAACGAGCTGCGCCGTTCGTCACTCAAAACGGCACTTTATGGAACTGGTACAATTTACCGTTCGCCTCAAAGGCAGTGAATAGCTTGTCCGTATCCCGTATAGGGATCTGATGCTGCGCACTCTTTAGGTCGAGAGTGCTGAATATCTTGTAACGAGATAGGTTAGTCACCAAGTCGTCTATCCGGGGCAAGTATAAGCATCCAGCTGGGTATACCTGTTGATGGTTTGGCTGTAGTCGACAAGAAGCCGCTTTTTGTGCCGCTCATTAGTAGTGATGAGGACTTATGCCCTCCACGGTGAAGTGCTGGATTCGATTATTCCTTCTGACAACATCTTATCGACTTCACCTTGGATGAAAGCCCTGTCCGCTTGACTAAATCGTCTTGACTTCGTCGCAACAGGTTTACAGGGGGAGGTAAGATTAGAGAAGAGAGATGGTGGATCGACCAAAGCAGATGTTAAGCAACTGTATTATCTCCGATGATGAGGTGCTCTAGGTCCACCGAAATCAATAGTAACACCACTATGTAGGCTCATGAAACCGTGACCAATAATAACGTCACTGCAAAGGTCAGGAAGAACAGTTAGTTGAGTATCTCGATAGAGTTTCCCTTGAGGGTAATGTCTACAGTACAGTGACCTAGTACTGGCGATGATAGGGAAGACGAGGCCATAGACACGCGACCTGACCCTGGATGACACTTCAGAGACTTCTACTGGATATAACGGTTTGATACAAACAATTTTGAGATCCCGGTATCAAGGAGGGCTGTAGCTGTATCGTCAATAACAAGCACATATATGGTAGATCGAGCGAGACAGCCAGGGGAAGTCGCAGATATTGCAGCCAAATTAGGAGAGTGTAAGATCGCACAAGTGGAAGATGAAGTAGCAGGTGAGTAAAGAGATGATCTGCAATTTTCGCAAAATGGCAATTCTTGTTGCATTTTGGCAAGTTGAATCACGTGCAGGACACTGAGGTCGGTTATGCCGTGCTCCACCACAGAAATAACACTTTGGTTGTTGAGTGACAGCTAAGAAGGGAGAGTCATCGCTGTCGATTTTCTCAGGTGAAGTAACAGCGGCAGCTTTCATAGGAGCCTGAGACCGAAGATAGGACTCGGAGTTTCTTTGAGCGAGATCGAGCCTGGTCAAACGCAGTACCCAAATCGAGAGTCTTGTTTTCTAAGAGACGCTGTCTGATCATAGGAGATAGTAGACCGTTGATAAAAGCGTCGCGGATATACTCGTCTCTGTTCGCCTCTGCTGTGACAACTTTGAAGTTGCAGTCCTTGCTGAGCTGACGAAGATCCTGTAAATATTCGTCCAAACTCTCTCCCGATTGTTGCCTCCTAGTAGCTTGTAGATGACGGGCGATCACTTCGTTCTTCGGCTTTATGTACAAGTTTTGCAGATCCAGGATGGCGGCGTCGTATGAGACACAGTCGGCTATGTATTCGCACACAGATGGGGAGACGAAGTTGCAGAGAATGGCTAGCATGTCGGGCTCGAGAGCAGAAATGGAGGTGAGGAACGTGTTGAAGGTCCGGAACCAGTGACGCCACTCCTTTGAAGCGGTGGGAGAGTTCGGCGTAGCATACAGTCGTTCCGGCCTCAGGAACTTCTCCATTATGACTCGGTTTCAGTTATGAACAATAAATTGTGGTAAAAGATGACTAGAGTCGACCTTTTTCTAGGCTTTATTGTTCATATAACTGACCAAGGGCAGTATGGCATCTGGAAGAAAACAAAAGAATATTCTAGTAAGTGAAGGGAACAATGAAAATTACTAATATAAAATAACCCCAAACAAAACAAAACCCAATGATAAGAAACATAACATATGTACATACACACATAACAAGGTAGAGGACATGGGTTCAAGTGTTCAAGTGTAGCATAACTTTATTACAACCCGAAGACGAAAAAGGAAGTATTAAAAGACTTAAAATTACAGATGAAACGATATGCAGGTTGGACACACTAAGGACTTGTAGGTAGATCCAGCGGATACAATAGCAATGAAGAAATGACTAGTCAGCAGTTTTTTTTTTTTTTTTTTTTTTTAAGATTTGTGGGAATATTACCTACGCGAACCTTAAGCTAAAATCCTGGTCCACCCACTGCTGGGATAAAACACCAGCATCGTTTTAGTTAACTGTACATCTCCACCACTAGCGTGGTGGTGGATGCTCGGTAAGAAACTGTAGGGTTTCTTGAGAGTGGTTGGTGGTTAGCATTTTGGCAACCTTCTCTGCTGTGATAGGGGTTTGTATGTTTCTCCTAGCTAATTGTGTTCCAGGGCACTGTCTGAGGTAGTGCTGCAGTGTGTTTTCTGCTCCGCTGTCGCAGGTCTTACATATGCGCTGCTCTGCTGGTACTGGTACAATGATTTCCCAAATGCATGGGTATCCCAGTCTCAGTCGGTGGAAGTTGATTTCTTCCCTTCTTGTTATATCCTTCATGAGTGGCGCTCTCTCATAATTCGTGACCAGATAGTACCACCTGGCCGACCGTGATACTGGTGTTAATCTTCTATGTATGTCTATTTTCCACTGGGCAGTTCGTGTTATTGTGGTCTTCTTTATCTGCCCCTGACTGGGCGGGATGTTCATCTCAATGTTTCGCTGTCCTAACGCAGCCTTGGCAGCAGCATCAGCTCGTTCATTCCCTGGGATTCCGATATGACTAGGCACCCAGTTAATGATAACTTGCCGATCTTGTAGTTTTAACCCTTGCAGTAGACCAACAACGGATGTTATGAGATTAATTTTGTCTCTAGGCTCTCTGCATTGTAGTGCTTCAATAGCACATCGTGAGTCAGTGTGTATTATAATGCCTTGTTGACTGTATATGGAAGCTTGTCTTAGGGCTCCAAGTATGGCAGCTAGCTCAACTAGCAAAGTAGAGCATCCATCTGAGGTTCTCCAAAGGGACGTGTTACCTCCTTCTATAGTGAAGGCTGCTCCTGCCTTCGTACTGGTGGTCTCTACGGAACCGTGTGTGTAATACACTGTATACTATGTGTGGTGTTAGAGCCTTCATGTTTCTCTCTGCTACCTGTCGGAGCTCATGTGGGTTACAGTCAGCCTTTCTTGTCCCAGTTTGTAGAATGTTGAAGACTGTTGACGGGGACTCCCACGGTGCTGGGGTGCTGTAGTCTGGACTCATTGTATCAGGTCCTTTGTTAAGGATTGTGTCTTTCAATTGCAGTCGATTTACAGCGTCAGCTGCGCACAATAGCCATGTTTTCTTGTTAAAGACATCTCTGTTAAGGTTCAGTGCTCGTAAGAGTCCATTTCTGATGTCACTTTCCCGAGCCCTGGTAATCAGTTTTGTTGCAAAGCACGCTGTTCATCGTTCCGCGCTGGTTTGGAGAGATGTGAGACCTGTCTCCATGTGTAAGTTTTCAATTTTTGTCAACATAGGTGCCTTGACAATGACTCTCATAGCATTATTCTGGGCAACCTCCAATTTCGCCCACTGCCCCTCAGACAGTGTGTTAAGAGCCGGTGTCGCATAGTCTGTTAATGATCGAATGGCGTGTATATATAGCGTTCTTAGGACTACATGTCCCGCACCCACCTTGGGTCCTGTCATGGCTCTCATCATGTTGACCCTCTTGCCTATTCGATATCTTAGACAGTTTATCTCAGTGTCAAATTTGAGGCCTTTGTCAATCCAGACGCCCAGGTATTTGTATACATTGACCCATTGTAGGGCAATACCTTGTATTTACAGGTGTGTCACCGGCTCATTGTGTCCAATCCTCATGGCTTTCGATTCGGGGATTGATATCTTGAGCCCGAGACCCATACATTCTTCACTGATGAGGTCTAGTGGTCTTTGGATTTTGCTGATTTGGTTTCTGCCTCTTACTATCAGTGCTAAGTCGTCAGCATAGCATAGCAGTTTGGTACCCACTTGAAAGAGGAGCCGACACAAGCTTTCCATGAGGATGTTGAAGAGAGATGGACTAAGAACTCCTCCTTGTGGTGTGCCATTTTCCAGTCTTTGGTGATCTGAGACTTGTCCTTGACAGGTAACTCTTGCATTTCTGTTTTGGAGATAGTCAGCAATCCAAGCCAGTAGGCATCCCTTGACGCGTTTCCGGGCCAGAGTGGTTACAATGGCCTGTGCATTTGCCAGTTCAAATGCTTTCTCTAGATCAAGGAATACTGCGATTGCCTTATTTTGACCAATCGATCCCAGGAGAGTGGCCAAACTGCGTGAAGTGCTGAGACCTTTGGTGAATCCAAAGATATTGTGGTGAAGTGGTCCAGTTTTCCAGAGGAGTCGTGTAAAGACCATCCTTTCGGCGGTTTTGCCGATGCATGCTGTTCGTGATATTGGTCTGAAATTCTGAGGATCATTGGGTTTGGGAATAGGAACAATGTTTGCTCTTTTCCAAGCTGACGGGAGTTTGCCTGCTGACCATGATGCGTTGATTATTGTTATGAGAGCAAGTTCACCAGCAAGTCCTGAATTCCTGAGCAATGAATAGGTTATACCATCACTGCCAGGAGCGGTGTCTTTGCCTGTTTTCCTGGCCCTTCTGATTTCTTCTATAGTAAACAGACAGTCTGGAGTGTCAGTTTGTTCAATTACATGTCTGACAACTACTTCTCTCTCCAATTGTACTTGCTGTAGATGAGGTCTTATTTCAGGAGGTAGTTGAGCTGATGATGAGCGTTCTGCAAAGTGCTCTGCCAAGCGATTTGCTTCCTGTAGTGGCTGGGGGTGGGCTGGAGCTCTGGGCAGTTTTCCTGTTGCTATCCTGAGTTTTCTCCAGAGTTCACTCAGGCTGGTGTGTGCATTAAAGGTTGCACACCACTCGAGACATTTGTCTTCCCTAATTTTCTGAGTAATTTGACGAGCATGTTGGACAGCAGCTCTCAAGAGTTTCACTCCCTTCGTCATTGTAGAACCAGTAGTCTTTGTGGTGTCTATTTGTAGGGTTTGTTTTTGGTATTGCTTCCTCTGCTGCGTGTTGTATGGCACCAGTAAGGTCCTGGTTTAGTTGGTCAATATCTTCTGCTGGTTCATAGTTCGAATACCATTTTTGGAGTTCATCTTGATATAATTTCCAGTTTGCTTTCTTGGTATTCCAACTTGGTGGCGGACGTGGGGGAGGAGGGAGTAGCTCCACCCTCAAATTAGTTATCGTTGCAAAGTGGTCACTGGTCAGTTCATCATCTACCTCCTACTGAGCTACTGGAACGAGCTCAATGGAGATGAATGTGAGGTCCAATGGTCCTCCCAGTATGTGTGTTGGTTCCCCAGTATTAATGAGCGTTATTTAAGGAACATCTTTCAGCAGTTCCACTAGGTGATGACCATCCTGGTTCATTCTTGTGGTCGAATTGATCGTTGGATGGTGGGCATTGAAGTCCCCAGCAATGAGCACAAGTTCCTGTGTTGTTTGTGTCAGTAGCTCACTGGCTTCTAGTCGTATGGGTGGCGGTTTATAGATATTGTATACTACAAGACTGTCGTTTGCCAGATGTATCCGAACAGCTTGTGCCTCTACTCCATCTCCACAGTGAACTGGTTCTACTTCTGAACTGGGGATGGTCGCCCTGGCGAGAATCGATGCTGCCATGGGAGTTGGGCCCCTTTGGTACAGAGTACTGTTGGTATCCAGGCAAGCAGAATTGTTTATCTTTGGAAATCAGGATTTCTTGCAGAATGCACACATCAATATTTTTAGCTATGGCTACTGCTTGTACAGTATGCCGTTTGTTGGACAGGCCTTGTACATTCCACTGTGTTATCTTGAGATGACAAGGAGGTGGGGCTATTCTATCATTATCTCCTCGTCGCTGGTGCTGTACTTGCTCTCGGCGTTCATGGTTGAGTCACTCTCCTCCTCGTCCGTTAGGAATGGTGGCTGTTGGGCACCTGCTGTAAGGGAGGAGCAGGAGGTGGAATTCCGCTTGTTTTGGGAGGTATCTCGGGAGTTTTTTCTTCTCCCTTCAGGGTGCTGTCGCTCTTGTCTGTGATCGTGTGTTTGTTGACGGTCTGTGCTTGTTGTTCTGTTCCTCTTGATCTGTTGCACGGGGCTTGAGGTTTCACGGTTTTGAGTGATCTCTTGGATGGCAAGTTCTTCTTCTTGTCTGATATCTGACTGAAGGGCGTCGTCTGGTCCACTTGTAGTTGTGGAGTTTTGGGGGTCTGGTTTTCCTGCATCTTTTCTGTGAGCTGTGTCATAACTGCATTTATTATATTTTCGGTGCTGGTATCTTGTTTCTTTATTATAGTAGAGAAAGTCACTATCATAATAGTGATCATCTGTTTTATTTGTTCTTCTGTGAATGCCGCTTGTAGATTGACAAGCTGGGGTGTATTCAGTTGGGTGGTCGCCTGAAAGGGTTGCAGTGTCCCAGGCAATATGGTGTTCTCCACCAATACTGGAGTGTTCTGTGCTTTTACTGCTATGCAGCTCTGGAGCTGCGGTTGTGGAGTCCACTGATTTGTCATGGTTTCCTGCATGGACTGATTTTGTCCCAGTGTCTTTAATTTTGTCCTGTAGCCTGGTGGAGGAAGTGCAGGGAAGGAATCCTCTGACAGTTGGGGCGGAGTGAGCGTTGGGTTGACTGTATTCTGTCACTGTTGACCCCACACGAATGT